CATGTGGAGCATGGGCACATACAGTAGCGTGCACGTCCGGTCCGGTCCACTGCATGTCAACTTGGTCATGCGTGCTTGTTTGCGTGCGACGCGCACACAGACAGAGAGACAGGCACACCGACTCATCAACCTCGCTCTGGGGAATATAAACATGTTGGGATCTATCTATGACTGCATTGGCAAGGCTAGTGTTGGATGTAGGGCGGCGGCCCCGGTGCGGAAAAAGCCACAGTGCTGATTATAGCACAGTGGATCGCTTTGATGTGCAATCGCAAGATGAGGGCGCCGTCTTTGGGGGGAGGGTGTGTCTGTGTGTGTCCAGGGGCGGGGGGTTACGTGGACTTGAGATCTGGGCCTGTGAAGACGTGGACCGGGTACAGGGCTTGCCTGTGTATAAAGAGATCGTCTTATATGTAACTATGTACTCATAAGATATCCGGCGCCCGGCGATAGGCCACACCCTGACATGACAATCAAACACCGGGTCAAGGCTAAGGATAATTTTGGCAGATCTTATCTCGTGATTACTTTGATGTTGTAAGGCTGGATTCTCGGCGACGAGTATGGGCGTACATAAGCCCAGATAGTGCCTTGGGTGTGTTCAAGATATGAGGCCGGATGTGCATTTTGAGAAGCATACAGCGTAGGTCAAGCGGACGCAGGGAAACTCGAACAGAACCGTTCCGAGAAAACACACGGATTGGTTGTGCTCGTGTGGTGTTGGTCATGTTGGTCATGGCTGGCCGCCCATGCCAAGGACTTGGGGGAGGCTAGTAGTTGCGAGAATAACAGTCGACCAGGCTAGTTGCCGGGAGGAGAGAGTCGCAATTAGTGGCTGTGGCGCCATTGGAGGAAACTGGCCGGTGACCGAGGGGCACTAATTTCTGGGGGGCACAATCTGTAATGCTGATGATGGGGATGCAGGCTGCACCTTGCAGCACATCGTCGCGCCTAGCCCGTCGCAGGCAGTATCCGAAGCATGCCTGTGGCAGCCCAGGATGCGTAGCGGATTGAGGCTGCTTGGTGCTTGGAGGCTCCAGACGGCCATGGTAAGCCCAGAGCTAGTAAGGGAGCGACCCGACCAGAGGCGGCGTGCCGGCGGAGAGGTCATACGATCTGGCCGGCGAGGCGGGCGCTGGTCGCGTAGAGAGGCGAGGGGCAGAGGCTGCTGGAGGCGGCGTGCACCTGTCGCGCCGTGGTGGTCGGCGGTGGCATCCCATCGACGGCTGTCACTTGTCACGCTGACTCGGCTCGACGCGACTGGACGGCCACTGGGAGGGCGGCGACGGCGTGCAGGGCGGCGGAGGCTGCAGGTCACCCGTCCATCGAGGGCTCTGTCCGGCCATGATGCGGTCGCAGAGGGAATCCGGTACTCGGCCAGCAGGGGGCTCTGCACGACACAGGCGCGCACTCGGTCGGGCGAATCACCACGGGCAGCGGCGAGGGCGGTCGCGATGGGGGTGGGACATGTTGCGCGTGGAGCGTGGAGCGGGTCGCAGGTGCGCCTGGACGTGTGTCAGGAGTGTTTCGTCCATGTCGCGCCGCGGCAAAAGACGTGGGGCGACATGGATGGCGCTGCTGACTCAGCGGCGCGCTGCCCGCCTGCCACTGCGACTGCGCGCCACAGGCGGCCGCGGG